CTTTCTTTCTTTCTTTCTTTCTTTCTTTCTTTCTTTCTTTCTTTCTTCTTTCTTTAAGACATATGCCTGAGGGTCCAATTTTCAGGAAAAATTGGCACTAGAGTTTCTGTATGTTTTGAGGCCACCAATAACGTCTCAGTAGACTGTGATGTCTTCCCCCACGCTGTTACAAACCAACAAGCTTATTTTAAAACTAGAAAATGATATTAATCATCAAAAGGAAAAAGGAAGTAACTCACACTGACCCTGCATCCTTTTATATGTATTTCAGTAATACTAAGTTTCGTGTGTGTGTGTGTGTGTGTGTGTGTGTAACAGCTGTGTCTTATGTCATTTGTTTCTATAGCCCAGCAGAACAGATTTAAAGAATTCTAAACATCTGAAATACCCCCCTTGTGTTTCTGGGATGAGCATATCTCCCTCAGTCCATTTGATCACAGCAAGAATGTGCCTGGGGGTAGAGGTACACAGAGCAGGCGACAGGCTGTTTGTCATACCCTACATTTAGCTACTGTTGGAGACCAGAGTTTGCATTTTAAATCTGCATGCTGTAGACGTCATTACATAAATAACAAGCAGTGCTGGCTGGAAAGCCATGCTGTGGTGAAAGCACAGCTACTTATCAAGCTTAGGGCCGCAGGACAGACTATGGCCCTGGTGGTTAGTGCAAACCTGCCATAAATCATCATTATTTCAAGTAAAGCAGTGGGGCAAAAGGGGCAGATAAACGAGAATGAATGTTCTGGGCAGAGGTTCCCAGGGCAACGCTAATCCATTGTTCAGGTTATATTTAAAGTATTTCTTACCTTGAGTTTTATGGGCATATGCAGAGATTTAAGCAGCATTGCTTAAATCTACGTACACCCACTGTGATTTGTCCTGGCCTTTTGCGTGGCCCAGGTTCTGCCAGCTCAAAGGTCAGTTCCTACCTAGGTGGGACTTGTGCCTAGACTTCACCCATGACTAGAACCCATCCCAGGTTTAGGACCCACACCTGCCTGGACCTCACCTCTAACCAGACTCCACCCAAGGTTTAGGCTACACCTCATGCTTACGCCACACCTCTTCCTAGGCCACACCCTGGTGCCAATTGCTGTCTTAGTTTGTTTTCTATTGTTTTGATAAACACAAAGACCAAAAGCAACAAGGGAGAAAAGGGTTTATTTTAGCTTCCAGTTCCAGGTCTACCACTGATATCCAACCAGGAACTGGTTAGAAATTCATTCTTACATCCTAAACCAAACCTACTTGTTTGTGGCTTAGATGGGAACTACCCTCCCAGGCACATGTGTGTCATTGCTAGTCACTAGCTGTTGGCACTATTTGGTGAGGGTGTGGAACCTTTAGGAGGTTGGCCTAGCTGCGGAAGACACTGGTTGCTAGGGGCAGGCCTTGAGGCCCATTCCTCTTAGCATTTTTTGTCTTGAGCTCTTTCTGTTTCCTGAACCTCTGAGATGTGCAAAGCTGGGCTGGACCATCAGCTCCCTCAGCCACAGAGTAAGCAGGTTCAGCCTCCATGCTTTCTCTCCCAGAAGAGACTGTGTATCCTGAACTGTGAGTCAAAACAAGCCTTTTCCCCCCTCAAGTTACTTCTGGCAGATGCTTTGTCACAGAGACAAGAAAAGGAACCACTACACTACTAAGCCAGAAATTCTAGGGACAAATGTAACAGACACAGACACAACAAGCCCCAGAGGTGGCCCTGACGCAGCAGGCAACTTACAGGGCAGTGCTCCTCGGTTTCCTCATCTGTTTCGCTTACCATGCTATAACCTGAAAGGAGCCCTGGGCTAGGGAATGGTTCATTCTCTGTAATGGATGGCTGGGTTTGATGGAATCCAAGTTTCTGTTTATACTCTTTTCTCTACTCTTTAAAATTGAACGCCCTGCAGTGCAGTGATACTTTCCAGGGGCCAGGCTGACTCTGCACGCATTAATCTTGGTCCACCAGCAAGAGTTAGATTGTTGGTACCAACATGCTCTGACCCATCAGGAGAGAAGCCTACTGACAACTTACTGGCAACTAGTACAGAAATGATATCCAGGTCAAGAAAGCCAATGTTTCCAATACAGACAGCCCTGAACTTATAACGGTGCTACGTTCCAATAACCATGTCATAAAATGATAATATTCCCAAGTGGAAGATACATTGAATCTGCCTGAAATATCAGCCAGGCCATCTCAGCAGCACAGCGCCCTGCAGAGTGGGGCGGCCCAGTCAAAGGTGACCGAAGGGCTGACTGGGAGGTACTGCGTTGCCCACTGGTACTGTCTCGCCGCGAGGATGGGGCCACATAGTGTTAGTCCAGGAAAACACCCACATTTAAAATTTTCAACTAGTTTCTACTAACCACATGCCGTGTCTCCATTATCACAAGGCAGACAAGCTGAACCATCACAGGTTAGAGACCCAATGTACGTATGTACATTGGGCCAATGGATTCTATGCCAGATACTTAGCTACTTGCTCTTTTACTTATTAAGCTGTGTGTGTGTGTGTGTGTGTGTGTGTGTGTGTGTGTGTGTGTGTAGGTCTCACCCAGTATCTCAAGTCTCAAATACATGATCTTCTGCCTTTGCCTCCCGATTGTTGGGTCTACAGGCACATGCCCCCTCTGCCACCTGCTTTAATTTCTTATCACTGGCTTTCCTAGTGTCATCTAGAAAGAAAGGAAGCCAGCACGCTGCTTCCTTGGCATAGGCCGCAGCATGAGGCCACCACTTTACAGTGGGCTTGGGAGCGATGCACACATACATAAAACTGTGTGCTGGGGGTTGAGACTACTTCCCCGAAACACTGTGTGCGAGGATAATGGTACTGTTGATTTTCTGATTAGTGCAGAAAAATTCGGCAAGCAGCTTAGTCACACCTGTCTGCTTGGACTTCTAGTCTTCCAGAAGCATAGCAAGCGAGTTTGCAACAGGTTCTGAAAATGCTCTTTATAGAACTCTTTACACTGAAGAGTAAGATTTAACTTTCAACTCAACTAGAGAAAAAGCAGGTTTTTTTTTAGACACATGGTGTATTTATCCAAGTACCCGTCATCATGGGGATAAAACAGATATGTGAACCGTACAGAGACATGCATAAGCCGTCAGCTTCAGCGACTAGAAAAGAGATAGAGGAGAAAGAAGAAGGTGGGCAGAGCTCTCTGAAGAAGGCCTCATCCTTCAGACACAAACAGAATGTCAATGTCAAAGCTGGCATTGTCACAGCCAGCTGCTTTTCCTTAGCGGAGAGCAGAGCCCTGAACGCTTAGCTGTAAGCGAGCCACCTCCACACACCTGTCACCCGCAGCCTGCCGGTGCCGACCACGATGCCCTGCTCCTCAGCGGTGAACAGTGGCTTGCCAGCTTCAGAACTGACCTGAAAGTGCTGGCTCTGGACTTCTACCATCTGGGCACCTGAAAGAGCAATCCGTACGGCGTATTAAAAGTGTTGACTATAAGCAGCACCGAGTCTCTGTTTTCACAACTGTTGTGTCTTCCGCTACCAAACAATGGACTATGACCGGCTTCGTATGTGCACCAGGACCCTCATCCCTGATACCACAACAATAATACAGACATTTGAAAACAAAATGGTTTTGGTGACAGAGGTGGTTAGGAATTAAAGTTCACAATTTGCTCATTTTTCTTTTTCTTAAGAAAACCTGGACAGCTAGGTGCGTTGGTACACACCTGTAATCCCAGCACGAGGGGAGGCAGAGGCAGGTGGATCTCTGTGAATTTGATGCCAGCCGGGTCTATAAAGTGAGTTCAGGACAGCCAAGGCTACACAGAGAAACCCTGTCATGAAGAAAGAAAGAAAGAAAGAAAGAAAGAAAGAAAGAAAGAAAGAAAG